TGATGTTGACTAACCTTTTTGATATTTCTTTAAATAGCCTTAAAGCGCTAGGACCCCAAGGACCAAGGGTCTCGATATCGAATGTGACAAAATCATATTCTGAGCCTAGACCCCTGTATTTGCATGCTTTAGTTTTTTCAGCCGCTTCACAAGCCGCACCAGCTCTGTAGTTGGTTCCATGTAGATGGGAAGGGGCCAGCGTGTCTGAACAGGTTGCATTCCATACCAGTACCCGACCCATTTTCCATGGAATCAAACTCATACTGTCCGGTCTTTTGCCATCGTCTCTTGCAATACCACTCGGCTCAAGTAGACTTGGAACGTTGACGGTGGCAAGTGCGGCATGTCTCGAGAAGCGACCTGCACTTTTTTGGCATGACAGGCCGTGATGTCCTAACTTGTGGACATCACTGCCACAGGGACATATATGAGGAGCGCAGACCGGAACCCCAAGCCGTAGACAGGTTGCAATTCGAAGTGTGTCATGTTCAAGAAAAGTTCCTGTATTTGACGAAGGGTAAGCGTGAATCCAGTAGCCGGCCTCATGGCCAAAAGTCTAGCACGTGCCGAACCTGTACTACAACTCAAAAGATCAACAAGTTATTTAACCTAATCTTAGTTCATTTACACATTCAATCCACATGACCACGAAACTGAACGTCGTTCGATATCTCAACGCCCAGTATTCCGATTTAAGGAGAGTGTCTTCGAATAAAGGAGTAGAAACAAATGTTGTTTTTGTTAGCGGGAAATACGCGCAAACTTGGGGTTAAATTGGATTAGATTTAGTTAACTCCAGTCCGAGACACGTAGCAGATTTTCGGTTTCAGACACTAGTTGGTTTAAGTACCTACTTATCGGTAATAGATAGATCGGTAATAGATATATCGCTTAGAACCGATAAATATCTCAAGTTACAGTTTTTTGTTAGTTTGTTAATTTTATGTTACTTAAAATTATAACTTTAATACTTGTTGCTAAAGTTTCCTTTCTTTGTAATCCTAAAGTTACTAGAACTAGAACTTCTATACGTCTCGCTTATCTGCTACTTTAAATGGTCCAGGGAATAGGCAATCTCGCTCTTACAATTTAATTACTAACAATAATAAAAATATTGATATATTTTAAAAAAATCTTCCTACTTACCTACCCGTAATTTTGTGTATTACTCTTTTATTTAAGTTTTAGTTTCTACCTACTTAGTTTTAGATTTTACTTTTTGCTTGTGATTTTTTTCCTACCTAAAATTTTTATGTTCTAATATAATTTATGTGTATGTGTGTAAAATTTGTGACTTTTATTGTATCTTTAAAGCATAGATAACTGTTGCAGGACTTATAAATAAAAATACTTCTTAGCTCTTATTCTTAAGACAGTTGATCTTCGAACAGAGTTTCATTTAGGTATTACAATTTTCCGAATTTAACACCTCTTTGGTCCAATAATGCAAGGAAATTCGAGACAAACACCTTACCTACTTAATTAATAAATAAAAGTAATGTAATTGTAACCCCGGTAAACCCCTCACGTATAAAAGTGCGCCATGATACGTGCATATAAAGAAGTGCAGACTGCGTACCCTGCCCCTAATACCTGTAACTGAGCCTTTTTCTTTGACGGTATCACCTTTCTGTGCTTACCAATTCGAATGAAACATATCTCGAAGTGTAATCCGCAGGCAGAGAGGTTATTTGCATGCGAACATAAATAAACTCAAATTGAATACGCTAGTTGTTTGCGGAAACGGTTTATTAATGGATCTACGTTAATTTATACCTAGGTAATTATAATTATCCCATGTTGACCGTATACAGGTGAAGTTATTTGGTTCATGCTGAACAATAATGATGCTTTATTTATGTCGTAATACAGCTAACATAAATTATATTTAAGCCAAAGATGGAATACATACAAAAAGGTTCAAACATTTGCAAAAGGAAAAATCTATAAAAATTATTAAATACATTAGACTAGTAATATCTAATTTGGCTGTGTTGTGATGGTGTGAAAGTGAGGGTATGTACGCGAAGGTGTATATGTGGGGTGTGCTCCTTATGCAGGTGATTTAGCGCTACGAATATTCTTAATACTCTAATTATTGATTACTAGTCTGGTAGGCAGGAACAAGGGAGGGCAATTTCTGTAGAAGTAACCTTCAAATAATTTTATTTGAGATGAAGTCATGAACTAGTATTAAATCGTATGTTTTAAAGAATTTTCACAAAATGTACAAATGTATTTGAAGGAATGTTTATTTTCTTATGTGAATGTATTTATGACAATAAGAGAAGCAATTTCTTACGGTCTGATTATTTTATTTATATTCAAAGATAATTTTTCAATGACAGCAGTGTTGACCTAAACGAGCTACTGCAAACCTTTAAAACTTGGCCCTACGTCTTGTGGAAACTAGCATATCTTAAAGCAGTCATACACCGACTAGGTACTGACACCGACATCTCTATAAAAAACAAAATGAGCAATAAAATTCATGATATCTGCGGGCAGACCCGTTTAGAGTTTAAGTGCCACTGTATAGTTTAAATTATGTAATTTGGATGTCTCCAAATCTTTTGTTGGGTCCACGAAAACATACACATACATACATCTCATGCTTCGTGTTGTTTCAATCAGTAAAAAAACATAATATTTATATAGCATATTGACCTCAAAGACATGCGGTTTATTTTAATTGTCACTTTCGTCAAACATGATTAGTTGTCCAATGTATTATTAGGTCAGACTAGCTTTAAGCGTCTAATAAAACCAAACCTAACCAAACACCCGTTGCGTACATAATAAATAAAATAACTTGCAAGTGGCAAAGTTATTTTTATTACTGGACTTATAAAATTCTCTTCATTTCTATACTCAAAAAAAATAGTGGTAATTACATAAGATTTAATTCACCATCAAAACAGAGAAAGCGGTCTTTCGAAGCCCTGTGGTCAGAGCTGTTTTAACAAATGTAGCATTTGTCTTCGTAGCTGATTTGCACTGTGCTTTAAAAAATATCTCCTCTTCTATTAGTAATGTAATGATTTCTGGCACAGCTATTATATGGTTTAATGTGGTTTTTTTTTTATTTTAGAAATGTAGGATAAACCTTTAATAATATAAAAATCTAAGTAAATTTTTCCTTAAAGTAAGGTAGAGTAAACAATGTATTAAATAAACTTTGCGTATGTTTCACCGATACCTTATAATTGACAAGCGTTTGATTGGGCTAATCGAACTAAATTATTGATTCGGAACTGGGGAAAAATGCTTGAAAATTAAACAAATTGAATAAACGAACTGAACCATTTAGTTATTGTTAATTATCATTTTATGAAAATGTATAACTAGACCATTTAACATACAAAACGATATTAAAAATAAAAGCGTAACATAATAATTGTATTAATTCCTAATGCAAATAAAATATTAATCGTTACACAATTTTGCTACGCCATCTACAACGAAAATTGATTTTCAATTACTTGTACCAGCGCCATCTATGCTGAGTTATCTATATCATGAGGTGGATATGTTCTTGTTCTTTTAGTTACTTCGTGATAAAGGAAAGGAATAATAGATGTCGCTCAACATTTGTGTGAACGTTTTATGGATATGAATTTTAATGTTAGTCTGTGCCGTTGATTATATTTTAAAACGATGAAGGATTATATTAAAATAAAATATGTTAGCTGTGGTAAAAGTTTTAGTAAAGGAATTACCTATAGTAAATACTTAATTTTGAAAAAAAGGTTAGAAATAAAAAGTCACATTTCTCATAGTAATTATAATTTGAATACATCAAATTTTTTGGTGTAACACGAAAATCGTAAAATTAGCTGATTACCTGCATATGTAGGCCAGCAATATTATTATGCTCTTACAAATACTTGTACATACGGAATGTACTACATTACTACATAGCAATATAATAGAAACATTAATTATCGAATAATATAACAATTAAAAATTAAATTATTAAATCAGTCATTTACAAGCATCTCATATTTTACAATACTATACTATGACTATGCCTAATCTTTTCATATATTTCTTTTTTTTGTATTTTGGATATCGCTTATTGCACGGAGCGCATTTTTTTATCAAACATTGGAGTCGATTGATTGCGATCGATAATCTTCGAGAATAATCGAATTAATTTTGATTATTACATATTTTAATGCTAAATTAATATTCTACACTATTCTAGAAAATGGCGTAGAATTACACAGGCAACACCTGCCATCATATTCAAATAAGTAGTGCTAAAGACATTATAGCATGCCGTATTATAATTAGAAATTAAAACGATAATTAAATTGTATTTTTCTTGTGCCTTTCACTTGGAAAAATAAATGGAAATTTTAACTTTACGTAATGAGTTTCATAATTCATTCGAGACACACAGATCCTCTCGCTTACCGAACAGCGTTTCAACACAAATTGCGGTCTTATTTTCACGGGAAACGCATTATAAATAATTACAAACTAACACAATACTGATATCGATTCAATGAAATGTACATCTAAGGTACCTACAATCACAAACATTCAGCTTACGCGACCTATATACAACATTTACATAAAATATAAAAACCGAGCACTTCGTTATCACTCAACGGACATAAATAAACACAATTGACTATGTACAATTGTCATTTTCCAATAAATTTAATAATGTTTTTATACAGGCGATTTCTGGGCAGTGATAACTGTGAACGTTTACAAAGAACTGACACTTTTAGTCCCCAAATTAATTATAAGCATAACTCAATTGACCAAATCTAAATTAAGAAAAATCTACGTTATTTAATACTGTCTGTGTAATAGACAAACGATTTATCTGGAGTGATTTTCCCGCGCTTTTTAGCGTCAATTCGAGTGACAGATAATATCGGATGCGAGATTACACAGATGATGTCCCTTGCGTAATTTTTGTACTGGCAATTATTTGCTTGCGAGGGACGCGAAGTGTAAATTAATCCTAATATTGTGATGAGAGTTTAGGAAACCATTTGTCGGTGGTTTTGCCCGTTTCCGTTTTGTGAGGGGAAGAGCACACCTTCGTATGTCACACCGTTGAGCTCTATGGATACGACGAGTTTTTGATCACCTGTGCTTGCGTCACCTGGAACAAATGTATCATTATTAGCTTTATACATTTAAATGGACCTCTTATCATTACTTATGTGGCATTACATGCTAAATATGTTGTGGAAAAACAAAGATTTTGATGTCGATTGTTCGAGTCTTTTTTTTTTTAATTTAAAATAACTAGTGGATAAAAATAAGAGGTCTTTTATAAACTTGGGTTTAACCTTATTGGGCCAACAAACTTTTGGGGCAAATGTGGTAAAGCTGAATTTTAACTTCTAACTTACCCCGAGTGGAGATCTTGAATGCGGCGCCACTGACGCCGTTGTTGAGGCCGGAGTTGCCGTTGAGGTGCGCGATAGGCTTGGTGTCGGGGGGCGAGCGTGGCGCGGGCGAGGGGGGCCGAGGGGTGCGGCGCTTGGCCGGCGGAGGGGGGGAGCGGCAGGCCTCGCGTTTTATGCCGCCGTTACTGGAGTTCGGGCTCTCGCTCAGGTTCAACGCCTCTCTGAAATGCGGAATGCTGCGTAATTGAAGCAATTTAGTAGGATAAGAAAGACGTCCGTTTTTTAACTACAATTATTAATTGAATACTGATTGATTCGAACCAGTAAGTAACACTAGGATGAAACAGAAGTTTTGAAATAAAGTCTGCATTTCCTATAAAATGTATATTATATGTCCTTAAGCAAAATAAGTAAATTGTTAGCGCAAGCCTAACACTAGTATATAACCATGTTTTAATGGTGAATGTTTCAGCAAAAATCAACAGATGGCGCTGTATTTAATTTATAAAATATGAACTAAATCAAGTAAACAGATACCACAACACAACACATCTTTTCAACACAGATAAACACAATTTCTCAAAACGAAAGCACTTTTATAAACACAGACTTATATTTTTATGAAAATTACGACTTCAATTATCTGTGAGCATTATTTATCTAGCACCTATATTTATAAAAGCATATCTCAAAAACTAAACCGATTTTGATGAAACTTAGACTTATCTAAAAGTTACAAGTCGATAAACGTGTAAACATAAAATATCACATCACGGGTGAAATTCTTTTGTCTGTCGATTAAAAATATCTAAAAGCCAATAAATATAACACATACCGTTGCGGTTCGATGTCTGGTTGCGGGCTGTTGTTGTTGTTGTTGTACAGAGACCACAGAGTGAGACGCGACACGTCGATGGCGGACAACGCGTCGCGGGGAGACATCATCGGCGCACCCGGGGGTGATTCAGAACCTAAATAATACATATTTTATTATTCCTAACTAAAAATGATAAACAATCTTGCTAAAACAGTGGAGCTACAGCCTTTTTAGGTCTGGGCCTCAGATTTCTGTATCTGTTTTATGATCATTCGTCAACCTAATAGGCAAGTAGGTGATCCCTTCTGAAACACGCCGTCGACTTTTTCAGTCTAAGGTAAGCCGGTTTCCTCACGATGTTAAATGCGCACATAGAAAGAAAGTCCATTCGTGCACAGCTGGGGATCGAACTTACGACCTAAGAGATGAGAGTCGCACGCTGAAGCCACTAGGCCAACACTGCTCTGCTCTATAGTTTGATATAATGGAGCAAAAAATAACTCAAGAAATTTGCAACTTCATAAAACAACATTTAATTTGGAATTTAGCGAACGAAAACCTTTTAACTACTAACCATTTCTGATGAGCTCGCGTTGCTGTTGTATCATCTTCATGTACTCGCGGACTCGGTACTCGATGTCGTGCTGCGAGATATGAGGTGCGTGTGGGGGCAGAGGGGGCAGACGGGGCACAGTGCCCCCCAGCGACAGGGACAGGGGCTGCATGTGCTGGGACAGCTGCGCGAGGGACGCCGGGACTCCGCGGTTCAGGGGGGGCTGGAAATACTAAATTGTTAGTTTTGTTTAAATTGGATTCCAAGTTAGCCAAAGTAGTGGATTCTTTTTAATTTGCAGTAGGTCTGGAAGAATGATAATCAAGAGGCTTACCATAGAGAGTGCTGCCTGTGCGTCGTACTGTCCAGAGGCACGGCGCCCCTCCCGCTTGTTGCCCTCGATGGCTGCGTCCAGCTCACTGCGGGTTGACAGGTTTTTCTTCTCGCACTCATAGTCGTATAAATACTTCATATATCTGGAAAATTTATTGAATTATTAACAATTAAATTCATATTTTTTGCAAAGATGAAAACAGAACTTGTACAAATGTCCTTATTGTCAATATATCACAAATATATACTAAGTTTTAAATGCAAATAAAATAAACAATATATCTTCAGTCCGATTCTAAATTTAAAGACCTCACGTCAAGAGAGTTGACACGCCTATAAATCATATTTCAAGCCCAATTATAAAACGCCTATCATTCAAAAGTATAACACCGCGGTACACTGTAATCCTATTCAGCAACAAGTCAATTTTATTCAAGCATATTGTCAACTAAACTCCGTCATAAGTCATAAGTGATCGCATATTAAAGTGAAAAGACTTTGAAAAGACCGCGACGCTTAAAAGTCGGCTACCTTTCATGGGCTATCAAATAAGAAATTTGAATGTCAGCAGTCGTCTAGTTTAATACTGAAGATGACAAAATGACTCCTATTTTATTATTCAATCATAAAGGGTTATTTTTAAAAAGAAAAATGTTTGAAAAGAACTTCCAAACAATATCTACGGAGCAATCAAAGTTTAAATTTCGAATTGGTATTTGTACACGTTCAAAAATTTCGTATCACAGACAAGGCACAGACTAGAATATCTAAGCCCTAATTAGTCCACGGACAAAGTAATTAGTAATCATAATGCGGCGCTGGCGTCGTGCGTAACGGTGAGTTTTGAATTAGAAATGTACACCTTTATGTTTCCGACAATAGCCGAGGTTAAAGAACTTTAAGATAAATGAGAAAATTATATCTGCTCAGATGAGTTAGAGGTTATTAATTATGGAGTTGTCACATTGTCGCGAGCTCACGTACACTATTGTGGCTTTGTCTGGCTTTCGTGAGAACAGAACGGATTACAATGAGGCCGGCTCCAATATGGTGCTCCTGAAGTTTGGACCACACCGTTTTGAGGTCACTTTTCTTTTGGTTAAAGTTGGAGTTTGATTATATGCCATAGTTAAAATAGAAGAAGGACTTACTGTGTTCTTAGTGTAAATGCAGCCGAAGTGATAGACGATGGCAGCCGAAGTCCCTTGATGATCTCCTGCCAGAGTTTCTTGTTGATCACCTCCACCAATCCACCACGAGCTATCACCAAGTTGTACAATTCATACAGATCCAGCACAGACTTCGCCATAATCGGTAATCTGTTGATAGGCGTTCCTGAAACAAAGAAAAAGTTTATTACAAAAGTGTAAAGAAGTTTAAAAAAAACTTTAACTTAACCCAGATATTTATAGATTATATCTCCTTATAAGACCTCAAAAAACATTGATAACATTAACATTATTATATATTGCGGACTTCCCTGTATCATTTCTGAACGTCACTAAACAAACCAGGGGAAGTAAGAACGTGAAGTGAAGCAAGTCCGCTTGATTGACATTTGATTATCATTGCTCAAACAGAATGACAGATTATGTTAAAAATACTATGGGAATTACTTAAACTGACGTTTGGTCACGTGACCGAGTTTTTTAGCGACTAGTAGATCTCTCGCATTGTATTTGTCTAGTGCCAGTTGTCAAAGCTATGGTAAAATGTAAAAGACATCGGCTGATATAAACTGAATCTAGTCTAAATATAAATCAATAAAGTACATCAAACCAAATAAGTTTTACGCGGGCTGTAAAACCTTTTACGCGTGGTAAGAGTCGTAAAGTGACTGCCAGCAACGGATCGCGCCCACCGTGATTTATGTCAGATAGGGCTGTTACTAATATAACCGTTAATGTCCCTTCTATTTCCTTCTTACCTCATACCCACCTTTGAAAAACCTTATTAAATTTCGTAAACCCTTTTTAGATTTTACTTAGCTAAAAATTACTAGCAAAACAGCGGATTATGTATCAGATAGGCACTTAAAATGCTTTTTTTTTAAATTGATCAGCCCACTACCGAATATGTCAAGCTCTAGATAAGTAGTGTTTATTTTAATGTGTCTAAGCAGAATACCGGTGAAGGAAAACGTCGTAAGAAAAGTAATTTTTTATTTATTGGTACTAACGTTTTAGACCCAATGGCACAGCTATCTATCTATAGCTAGATGCTGCTAGCTATGTGTATATTATAAGAGGTTATAACGTTAACGTAAAAAAAAAAATTCAACTCTTTTCGAGTCGAGACTGGGCCAAGTATGACCCTCGTATACGGAAGTCAAACTTAGCGTTGATTCCGGGTTTATGAATCTTATTTATTAAAATATTGGTAACCCTAAAAGCCGGACATCGTCTTTATATTGCCGCACTGTGCTAGATTTAGATTTGCAGAGCCAGTGTGACCAGTTAAAATGCATTGCGAATTGTTTCACATTATAAATATTATATGACATTGCATATATAAAATAAATAGCGGATCCTTTAAATAGTAAACAATTTAGAATAAGCCAAAATTTCGACTTTCCTCAATGTTTTCACAGTTATTTCGTAATTTTTTTATTCCTACAGCTAACATAAGAAAAGATGTAGCCAGAGATGGAATACATAATATATACAAAAGGACTTGACCTATTATTTTATGAATGTCAGCAGAATAGGAACTTATAAATTTACTATTATTATTATTATTATTAATTGAGGAGCATTAAATAGTCAATTTAATAGTAACTGTAGCAATAATTATATAAAAAACTGTGATGTTGGCTAAATATTTTCTCTTTCTATATATTTATAAATATATAAAATAATACATAGATTTGTAGGTTTTAATTTTTGTCAAGTAAACTCAGAATTACCACTGTTATCAGCTGAATAATAGAAAAGTGGCAACACTGCATCTAGTGTGGCCCGCGGAAGCGAAACATTATGGCGGATTGTTTGCAAGTGATTTATTGTAATTCGGTGGTAAATGTAATGACGTGACGAAGAATGGCCCACATATCTCCAGTTTTCTTTATTACATGTTTACGTGTTTGCATTACGCAACATTGTACTCAACACTCGATATTGGCTTAGATCTTCCGTCTAGCTATTCATGTCTCTTGGTTTTTCATTTAATAATTTTTATTATTATTCCTGTGTATTCTTGGTTAAATAAACTTTTACAACAAAAATATTTGTATAGCATTTAATAAAATTACGTCAATTAAAAAGCGTTGATTCTTATTATTATTCGATATTTATTGGTGACGCACAAGAATCTATACAAACAAAAGCAAATTCCCATATACACCATCAATTCAAAGCTCGTAACTGATGAGTATAATTCCAAGTCCCAATTCTGTACCATCACTGTACATAAGCGCTGTAATTAATCTCGGAGGGTGACGTAGCCCCCCCTAGCCCCCTCTTTCCCCCTCGCCCGGATAACCGGATGATTAAGTGCAAACGCGAAGACTGATTGACAAATACTCGTTTAGGTATTCACTAATGTTTTGCTCATCAATAAACGTTTGCGTTACTTTTTATCGGTTAAGAGAGCGTTCAGCAGGTTTATATAGTTAATACATTATTTACCAGTAATTTCAAGTTAATAGTATTTAATAATTATCATGGACTTATATAAAAAATATAATAAATAAATCGGTAGCGTTACAAGGTTACTAGGTTTTTCAGATTTATGTATATGTTTTATGATTATTAGTCAATCTAATGGGCAAGGTGATCAGCCTCCTGTGACTGACACACGCTGTCGACTTTTTGGGTATAAAGCAAGCCTCACGATGTTTTCATTCTCCGAGCGAATGTTAAATGCGCACATACAAAGAAAATCCATTGGTTCCGGGGATCGAACCTACGACCGCAGGGATGAGAGTCGCACGCTGAAGCCACTAGGCCAACATTTCTCTAGCGACTTATAGAAGAATAGCAAAAGCATGGAAGAGCTTTTGGGCGCTTAGAGAAGTCATGAAAAATAATTAAAGGAGCATGGCAATTAAAAGGAAGCTTTTCAATACTTGTGTACTACCTGTAGTAACATATGGATCTCAAACTTTAGCGCCCACCAAAGCGCAGCATACAAATCTATAGGTGTGTATGTGGAACGGCGGGATTTGGAGGAGGCCTTTGCCTAAAATAGGCACACCGCAGGATGTGTTTCACTTAAACACATTTATATTTTAAACCAATTTTTTGGACTTTACATAAAATAAAAACTAAAAGCGCTGTCTCTCCCTTTGAATCTTAATTTGAACTTATATATTGCACCAGCTAAAGAAATATACGGAATACTGAACGTTTTTCTCAAATATTAAGTAAGACTACTAAAGAGTACATGAGATTAGTATATTTTGGTACATGCGTATCGTACTGAATATGGGCGCGTGCTTTACGCAATGTTTATTTTGTTGTATAGGTCAGTATTGATTATTCTGTCAGGTAAACAGTTAAACAATTTCATAGTTGTCCTTGTGTTATTTCTAGAGACAAAGAAAGGGACGATATTAACCCCTAACTACTTCTAATCACATAATGATATATCTTCATCGCAATGGTTTCTTGGTAAAACTTATTACATAATAAACACACCTCTAACAGCATGTAAGCTGTTATCACAAGATCCCGTTATCCGAATAACAAGTTACAAGAATTGGACAAAAGCTATTGTTTATGAAAGCAATCACCCCAATAACTATTTCCACTAAACCGCCTTCCCCGCGCCGGCGGAAAACCAGCAATTCGATGCGCGTGCGACCCGCTACATGCGCACGCCATTTGCATTAACCGGCCGAGTACAAGGCCCCTTAATAAACTCCAAACAGCACAACACAAAACACATCTTAAACCGGACGGTTATACGGTAATTTACGATGTATGTCAAATCGCCGACAGAGCCAATCTAATCGTACCCGATTGTGACAAATTATTGCTTTTCCTACGAAACCTTACGCTAAATTTGTATTCATTTCACTTTATGAACACGTTTGCATATTGGCCTGTAACACTGTTGCATTTTAGTCGATTATTCGCACCTAACACGGTATTTATTGGCAATCGACGTCGCTAAGCGCTAATCTCGACGCGGGCTCTCGTAAATCAGTTCGCCCGTGTTGATAAAGGATTGTGAATAGCCACTAAATAATGTACTAATCACTTGCAATTCAAAATTTCTTGGTATTTCTAAATTTGAACAGCGACCGTGGAATAGTTAGACTGAAAGCGTACACAGATAATTCATTTAATTTAATTTGTACCAATAAAACTCGGACCTATAGTGCGTGATACGGGGGCGGTTTTGTACGGAATTTAATTCGCTTTGACCTATCAAAAGCTGCGTCTACACGGGTGATTATCGATTGAATCGAATCGAGGCATATCGAGCCGTATCAAGGCCCTTTATTCTGGTTGGCCAATGGGAGAGCGCGGTGAACCGGGACCCGGCTCTTATTGGCTTGATACGCTTTTGATTGCGCCGCCCATCTCGATCCACGTCGCTATCAATCACAATTACCCGGCTTGCAAGTACAGCATTTAAATGATTGAAACTTCTGCTGCAATTTCGACTCTACTACGCTACAATTAATCTCCTAAAATAAACATTGAATGTTTGCTTCTTCAATTATTTAAATTTAAACTATCTAGTAAACGAGTCTATCCGATTAAAATTACATTATTAAATAAAGAAGTTACTTTAACTGCATGTTATTAGTAACTCATCATTGGTTAAGATAAAAAGTTAAAATACATATTTTAAAGATTATCAAGGTTGCAAATAAACCTCAGTTATATTATATGTGGTAGTAAAAGCGAGGAACCCCTGTTTAGGCAGTCGTTAACAGTTTATGGGCGGAAGAATTTATTGAGAGGAACCGCTTTAATTTAGAAATACGATTGGGATAGTGTTAACTTCCACACTTTAATGTTTTCTTTTTAATTTTCAATTATCATTACGCTTAAGGATTATTTAAAACACCGGTACTTATGTTGTGTACAAAGGAGAATTCATGTTGCATTATTCAAGTACTAATCAGTATTTGTTGGTTAATTAAATAGATAAATAGTCGGTAACGAGAGCAGCGTTTAATTAAAGTCTAGATGTCAAGAGATGGACGTAAAAGGCGTAAGTTACCTAACAGCTTGGTACTAATGTAAGCAATGTCAATTATGATATAATTACGAAAATATTATAAATCAGCACAGTTACCATAACTCAACACGTATTTATTGCTTGTGCAAATTCCAAGAGGTACGGCGCGAGAATGACATAAGGCCGAGGATACAACGATCAATCATGAGGGGCAGTAAAGCTGAGAACAATCCAGCGTAATTCCCTCTCAGAGACATTAAAATGGCGGCCGCCCTATCCGGTGCAACATTGTGTGGAACTGCGCGAACGCACAATAACACTTTCTTATTAGACTCTCAAAACTGACAGTTTTATCGCGCAATTTTAACCGCGCGATTAAAGTCCAAATCTAAACATAACGCGCCGAACAATCCCACCATATTTTGGTACAAATT